TGAGTGTTTTTATATCTATGTTCATTAAGGATATTGGTCTGTAATTTTTTTGTGTGTGTGGTATCTTTGTCTGGTTTGGATATTAGAGTGATGCTGGCATCTCTTCTCTTTTTATGCTGTCTCCTTAAGTAATCTTATCTCATTCCACAGCTTTAAATATCATTCAGTTTTTGCTGACTCCCAATTTAATATTTTACATTTCCACTTGGTTATCTAGTAGGCACCTGCAGCTTAACCACAAAACTCTTAATTTACCCCCAAAACCTGAGAGTTATTCTTGACTTCTCTCTTACCCTTCTCCCATCAATCCAGTTTATTACATAAATATTGATTCTACCTTCTCTCCAGCCTCCTTATACCAACTGCTTTCATTTTTCACCTGGACTACTGCAGCTGCCTCCTAAGTATCTCCCTGATTCCATTTTTGCCTTCAACAATCCATTGTCCCTACAAAGTGATCTTTTAATACATAATTCAGTTCATGTCACTTATATGCTTATAGCTTCTCAATGGCTTCCTGTGACATTTAAGTGAAAAAACAAAAAAGCACCTCTCTACAAGGACCTATACAAACCTGTGGGACTCAGACCTACTTATCTTTCCAACTTATTTCCTCTTTACTCACTATGTTCCAACCACTATGCTTCTTTCTGTTCCATAAACTTTCCAAGTTCTCTTTCTCAAAGGCCTTTCCTTTGATGTTCTCTCTGTCTGGGATACTACTTCTCCTAATCATTATGTGATCTGCTCTTTCTTGTAATTTAAAAGTCATCTTAAATATCACTTCATCAGAGAAGTTCTATCTCAGGTAGCTGTCCTCACCTCTATAAAGTTACTTTGTAGCTCATCATTCTATTTTCTTAATAGCACTATTTCATTCAAATTATATTCTTTATTTGTTTACCAGTTTACTGTCTCCTTCATGTAAGTTCCTTGAGGGCAGGTACCTTGTCTTTCCTGTTACTTCTATTTCCCCAGAAGCTACACCAGTTCTTGACATGCTGTAGGCACTCAATCAATATGTTATTTAAAAGGGTCAGATAATTGAATTATTACTATATATGTATTTAGGTAATAGTGACAAATGCTAACAAGTGACAAATGTGCATTTTGTTGGAAGAGCATCATATTGAGCCTTGCCTAGAAATGAATCCAAATTAGAAAGGTTTTCTGTCTTGAACTAATCATGCACAGTGTACTCCTCTGGTGGTCGATGCTGTCCCTTTAGCAATAAGTAGATAATTTCTTGTTTGGTAATTCTTACATGAAATTCATAAGATTATTAATATTTTTATTTTTACCATATTAATTAGAAAGCTATTTAGTAGAGTTATAGTGTGTTTCAAAAAACTGCTAGGATAGGTGAATAGCTCTGGGCTAGTTTTCATTCTTCCCACTTAGTTGACATTTCTGAATCTTGATGCCAAGATCCTTAAACATTTTATCTTAATAATTGTACTCTCTGAATTTAACCCCAGATGTTCTGCCTCTCAACCCTGGATATTTTAAGACACTCCTTTCTGTTCTGTTACTAAGTTATAGAGTATTTTTTTAAAGGAACAAAGTGAAAAAATATACTTTATCATATAAAATGTCATCTATGTACCTCAACACATTTTTCTCCTTTCAGAAATTCATTATATTTATAAAATACTATTCTTCCAAGGTTCTTAGATTATGATTAGCTGAAAAAAACAGAAGAATTATGTCAATAGTAACAGTTCTCACATCAATCTAGCCAACAGAATTCAGCTACATGTATTAGGCTTGTTATAACACAGGTTCCCAATAAAATACACATAAGACTATAATTTATAATGAGGTAGAATTTGTGAATATTTAAAATATCAGGTTGGCCTAAGTAAATTGTTCTGGATAAGTTTTGTTTTTATTAAAACTAACAAACCACTAGATTAAAAAAGACAATTAATTGCTTCCTTCAATTATACCCAAAAAGAAAGCTATCCTTTTCTTCTGTGTAACAAATGGCCTTTGTTAATTATGTCTGTTTGCATGCTGGCCACATTTGGCTAAGTCCAGTCCTTACCAAAAATAGTAACAACCAGCTCCGGAAGGCAATCAAGCAGCAAATCTATTTTTGGCTTTAATGCTTGAAATGCCAAATGCTAAATGCCATGGAAATGAACCTTAAATGGCAAAGTAAACTGGTCTGATACTAAAGGACAGAACACAAGTATTTGGGAGTGCTCCAAAACACCTGCTTCTTTATTCCAAAAGATGTAATGTTTCAGGCTTAGGAGGTGAATTTGTGTCTACCTTTGACACATAATCTTAGACTTGAAACAAAAGGGAAAGGAGGAGTAGAATGATACAACCTTACTTGTAATCTCTCATATTACTCTAAATTTCCTATTTTCTTAGTGTTTCTGATTTTTATTATTAATATCTTTGTTGTCTTACCTGTCTCTGAGTGTGCTGGGTCCTAGATAAGGGTACAGATTTTCCTTAAGCTTTCCTTTGATGAGATGGTCCAGGGTCTCATGTAGGAAAGGTTGGTGCTGAGTATACACATTTTCTACTCCCTAAGACAGGGGAAAATGTTTTTTTTGTCATTTTTGGGAAACTCACAATTTAACAGTTAATGATACTCATATCAGAAAAGGGCATGCACTCAACAGATTTCATGAGATAGATTCAAATAGGAGTTTTAGGAGAATTTTATAGTTAAATAATTTTAAAAATTATTTTCATCAATTAGAAATACCACAATCTCATAAAAGTACTCTGTAATTTAAAGCTAGCTACTATAAAAGGACTTTAAAAATGGAGTTGCTTAAATCTTTTATTATCTCTTCATTGACTCTCATCCTTTTGTGAAAATGTTATATGGTAAGTATAGCAAACAAATAAAAGGACCATGTAAAAAAGGAATCTAGACTCAGGCAAATGGAAAAAATTCAGGAAACATAAGGAAGGCTGGCAGATTAAAACTCATTTTTTACTATCTTAAGAAAATAGGTTAGTATTTTAAAAAGATCTACAATTGTTTGTTTTAATTTCCTTCAAACTACCTAACAAGTCTTAAATTATAAACAAATGGAGTAAGAGTAATAGACCTGTCTGTCTTTTCACTCTTGGGCATTTCCTGGAAATATCTTAGTCCATTTGGTCCAATGCTGATCCTGCTCCAAAACAGAAAGCATAGCCCATAGAGAAAGAAAAGGCTTTCAGGATGATGTCTGTTTAATTTCATTTAATTGCCATACTACTAAATCTGCAGCAATCCTAAAGTTACTTTGAGATCATATTCATTCACTCTCAGTCTCAGGAGCTTCTACTCTTTCTCATTTAGGAAAGAAAGCATAGAGAAGGAGTCATACCTTCAATCCTTTGAGAAATTGTTTGGTAATAGCCACAGCATCTTTGGGGCTGAAGAGGTCACTTCCTCTGACCCGTTTACCACCATATTCAACAACTGCAGATATGAGCTATTAAAAAAAAGAGAGAGAAACAGCCTTATTGTTTGGGGATAAGGAAACTCATTTTATAAGAATATAACTTTATTAAGGACATGAAGACATGTGAGGACAGAATCATACATTTCTGTGAATAAAAACAGTATGACTTTTCATTTATCAGAGCTAAAAATACAGTAATAGAGTTAGTTTTTGTTTGGTGGGATTAATATATTACAAATTTGGTTACCTTTCGATACTTCTCAGAAACACCTTTATTCCTGAGGTCCATCATTAGTCCTGGTAGGCTATTGCTGCTGTGTCGCTCGTAATGTAGAGCATAAAGCATCACCAGGCGGGCAGCATCAGACTCTGTCACTTTGGGGTTCTGCAGGAGCCTCTTTACATTCTGAAGAAAGAGAGAACTGATACTTATTCCCCTTTACTTGAGTGATGTATTATATCTCATATCTAATAAAGTATTGAGTGGCAGTCATACATCTGAGTTCATGACTAAGATTACTAGCATGGCAATGTACAGGTCATAGGCTTAGCAACTGTTTCAACTATAGAAAGTTAAATGTCTTTTGCCTAAGGTAAGAATTAAATAAGGAAATAAATTCCCATTGTAATGACTTTAAGACAAAAGTGAATTTAACTATGGATAGTTGCTCTTTTCCTTCCTTTGATGAGATGGTCTAGGTTGCAATTTCCTTGCTAAAACAGGGAACATATACTATTTCTACCATTTCAGTCAATATAGCACACAACAGAACCAAATAGTTGACCTGAAAACTACTACTTTCTCTTGGTGTTAGTGACCGACCAGGGAAATGAAGACAAGCTGGTAGAATTTTTACATAGGTGGACTGGGTTTAACCTCCAAGAAGCATCAGATATAACAGTATGTTTCAACATGGCCTATAGAGATAAGAGTATGTAATAGCATGTAATCTCTAAATTGAACATTTATGACTTAAGAGGGGAGGTACTGACAGCAAAGGAAGCTAGATGAAATGTTTAGGTTTGTCAATCCTTATATTAGGAGCTTCCCTATAACATAGATCTAAATTTATTATGCAGCAGAACAGATTAATTTAAGCCAACAAATACTTTTTGATCCCCCTCTAAAAGCATAAGACACTGTGCCAGGCAATGGAGGAGATAAAGAGATGACTTAGAGACAGTTTCTGTCCTCAGTGAGTTCACCGACAATGGGCTAAAGAGGGATGAAACAAGCATAATCCATTCTGCTACAAAGTGCTTTTCCTCCATGACATTGGTAAATATGGGAAAGGCTTCAGTTTAACACAGAAAGCATATTCGATTATACATAATTTTTCCAGTATGTTAATATTTAGAAGAGACCAGGGGCAAGCTTCCTCTTTACCAATATGTAAAGAAAAACAGATGGAAATCCTATAGAAGTGTTTCTTGCAAGAAGTAGCTGGATTTGTAGCTTTAAGAACTGTTGTACTTTCTACTATATTTACCTATCTGGAGAAAGGGCAAGTGCAGATGAAAGGATGTAAAGATATTTTTCTGTGTTAAAAGCAATATAAAACAACAACCCATTATATACAGATTGTAAGACTGAAGGAACGGAGAAGTGGCCCGGTCTCACTGGAGGAACCTGACTCGAGCCAAATAAGGAAGAGAACGGCAAAGGAAGAGAACGGCAAATGTCACTCAAATGATTCAACGGGAAGTCCCTAGCCACGGGTCCCGCCTAAAACATGCGTCACAGTACTCTCTCCCCAGCAATCCAGCATGACCAGTCATGGGTGATCATGCCCTCAGAGATCTCCCAGCGCCCTTAATAAGCCTGTCACCCCTCCTACTGGGCGCGACTTCCCTGGCCCCTGACAGACCAGCGAACTTCCCCCAGGACTGCGCTAATAAATTTTTTTTGGCTCCTTTGTTGCCACTTGCCTGGTCTGGTTTCATTTACCTTACACTTGGTGCCAAAACCCGGGAGGCCAGTGTGGGGCCCCAGTGGGTTCCCCCTCCTCTCCCGACCCAGAACCTCTCTCCAGAATAGGACCTGATCCCAGGAACTCAGACAACTTGGTAGGTCCCTCATCTTCCCTGCTCCCTCCTCCTACCCTCCGCTGGGTACCAGGTCTGAAATTGTAGCTGCGTCCTGACGCCCCTCTGGCCTGTGCCTATTTGGCTCCGGTATAGTGGAGATGTCCCTATCTCCAGATTGCCAAACCTGTCTTTCCTGTCCCTAACTGGAGTAGATCCGGGATGCTAGACCTACTTGTTTAGGGATCCGGGGAAGGAGGAGATAGTCATGGGAAGCCAGGACTCAAAACCTGAGGCACAGACCCCACTGAGGTGTCTTACTTCCTATCTCACTACTCTGGGCTTCTCCGGGGATATCCGCAAACAGACGCTGCTCTTCCTCTGTTCCTGGGCCTAGCCCCAATATCCTCTGGATAACCAGTCTCACTGGTCCCCTGAGGGAACTTTTGATTACAGCCTCCTCACTGATCTTAGCAACTATTGTCACCAGACTGGGAAATGGTCCCAGGTTCCCTATGTTCAGGCCTTTTGGGCATTGCGCTCCCACCCAGACCTCTGTGTCAAGGTATACCTCAGCCCAGATCCTCCTGGCCAGGTCCCCCGGTAGGGGCAACCAACCTCTTACTGTGCTGGAACCTTCCTTTACACATCCCCCAGAGGACCTCAGCCACCCCACTCCAGCCCCTTCCCCTCCTTCTCCTTCTCTCCTGTCTCCTTCTCCTCCAACCATCTGCCCCTTCCCAACCCCCTCCTTATTTGCCCTCTGATGCCCAGGCCTCTTCCATTCAGGCCTCTTCTGCGCCTGCCCCTGTGTCATCTCCTGTCTCACCCCTCCCCTATCTGGCTCCCCCTGGCAAACCGCCATATTTAATTCCTCCTTTGTCTTCACTTCAGTCCCCCCAAGTTCAGTCAATTCTCGTCCCCCACCTGCTTCTGTTCCCGCCACAGGGACACAACCACGTATCTCTGGTCCTACTGACATCACATCTAACTCCTCTATTTCTGGCCTTACTCCCGCTACCCACAAGTTATACTCCCCTCTTCTGTCATCACCACCATCTTGTCCTCCCACATCGCCTCCTACCCCCACCCCACCGCCATCTTATATCCCCAAGCCACCTCCTAACTGGGCCAGCCCTCCCCGGTCACTAGATCCCAGGCCCAAATTTTGGCCCCCCTTCAGAAAGTGGCTGGTGCTGAGGGATTGGTTCAAGTACATGTCCTCTTCTCCCTGGGAGAACTGTCTCAGATAGAAAAACACCTGGGCTCAAACTCTGCCAATCCAACTGCCTATACCAAGGAGTTTCAGTACCTCACTCAAGCATATGAACTCACATAGCATGACGTCCATGTAATTCTAAACTCCACTCTCACCCCTGAGGAGCGCGATTGTGTCACCTCAGCAGCTCGAGACTATGCTGACCAGGAACATAACTCCGACTAATCTCTACTGGTCAGGGCCACAGCAGTGCCCACCGAAGACCCACAATGGAACTATCAAGATAATGCCACAGGTAAGACTAGAAGGGATCAGATGGTCTCCTGTCTTATTGCAGGTATGGATAAGGCAGCTCAAAAAATTTTTAACTATGACAAACTGAGGGAGGTCACTCAAAAGCCTAATGAAAACCCAGCTTCTTTCCTTAATCGCTTAACAGAGGCTCTTACCCTCCACACTCGTTTGGATCCTTCCTCACCATCGGGATCTGTAGTCCTAGCTATCCACTTTATCACCCAGTCCGCCCCAGACATCCGGCATAAACTAAAAAAGGTGGAAGAGGGCCCCCAGACTCCACTCCGACACCTGGTAAATATGGCCTTTAAAGTTTATAATGCCTAAGAGGAGGAAGCCGAGGCCGTTCAGGCCCAGGGGCTAAAACAGAAGGTGGCCCTTCAAACCCAAGCCCTAGTCGCTGCCCTGCGGCTGGCACAACAGTAGCCTCAGGGCCCCCGCCTCGGGAAACAATCCGAGACCCGCATGCCTCCGGGAGCCTGCTTCAAGGGTGGCTAGGATGGCCACTGGGCAAAACATTGCCCCAATCCCAGGCCACTGACTCAGCCCTGCCCTGTCTGCAGACAGAAGGGTCACTGGAAGTCGGAGTGCCCCCTTGGGATGAGCCATCCTCTGGCAACAGAGTTTCGCAGAAGGCCAGCTCCCCCAAGGGGTCCCTCCTCAGAACTCCAGGGTCTCCTGGACGACTGAAGCTGCCTGGACTCAAGCACCCTGATCACCCTTGCTGAGCCCAGGGCTACACTATGGGTAGTGGATAAGTCTATCTCCCTTTTGGTGGACACAGAGCCTACCTATTCTGTTTTACCCTCCTTCCACAGGCCTTTACATCCTTCCCAGGTCTCAGTTGTGAGAGTCTCTGGGAACCCCTCTAAACCTCTGGAAACAGGCCCAGTGTCCTGCCTCTTTGAAGGCCACCCCTTCACTCATTCATTTTCAGTCATTCCATCATATCCAGTCCCCTTGCTAGGAAGGGACCTCCTATATAAGCTTGTTCTTTGAAGGCCACCCCTTCACTCATTCATTTTCAGTCATTCCATCATATCCAGTCCCCTTGCTAGGAAGGGACCTCCTATATAAGCTTGGGGCATCTATCGGCCTCTCCTTACACTGAGCCCCTCCAACTCTGGTCCTCACCCTCACCCAGGCTGCCTCCTCCCCTGAGCCCTCATCTGACTTCCCCGTTTCCCCTGATAAGGCAGACCCAGTGGTCTGGGACACTTCCACTCCAGTAGTGGCCAGACCCCACACCCCAGTCCTCATTCATCTCAAGGACCCCTCCTGCTTCCCTTCTCGGCCTCAGTTTCCTATTTCACACACCCACTACAAGGGTCTTCAGCCCACTGTCAATCGGCTCCTCGCCCAGGGTATCCTGGTTCCCACCAATTCCCCTTGCAACACTCCTATACTCCCAGTCAGAAAACCGTCTGGTGCTTATCGACTGGTACAGGATCTATGGATAATCAACTCTGCCGTAGTGCTACTACATCCAGTGGTCCCTAACCCATATGCTCTTTTATCTCAGATACCCCCCACTACCACTCATTTCACAGTCCTAGACCTTAAAGACGCCTTCTTCACCATCCCCCCACATCCTGATTCCCAGCTGCTTTTTGCCTTTACTTGGGAAGAATCGGATACCCACCAAACCCAACAGTTAATCTGGACGGTTTTGCCCCAGGGATTCTGCCATAGCCCCCACCTTTTTGGCCAAACATTGGCCAGAGACCTATCCCTCTATGACTCTGGGTGCAGCGCCCTCCTCCAGTATGTAGATGAACTCCTCCTGTGCAGCCCCTCAAAAAAAATCTCCCTCCAAGACACAGCCTTCCTCCTTAGCTTCCTGGCACAACGGGGATTTAGGGTCTCCCTCTCCAAAGCTCAACTCTCCACCCCACAAGTCACCTACCTAGGGGTGGCCCTTACCCCCAACTCCAAGGCCCTCATGGCGGACTGCACCACCTCCATCAGGGAACTCCAACCCCCACCTCAGGTGCTGAGATGTTGTCGTTCCTTGGACTGGTGGGCTTCCTCAGACGTTGGGTCCCCAACTTTGCTATACTTGCTAAACCACTATATGCTGCAGCCAAAGAGACCCCCACCAGGCCCCTCACTTCCCCCTCAATGGTAGTTCATGCTTTCAAGAATTTATTGAGTGCCCTCCTCGCCTCTGACCCCCCTGACCAATGCTTCCCAATCCTCACAAGGCTTTCATCCTGTTCACTAAAGAAAAAAGCTGGAGTGGCAACTGAAGATCTAGTCCAACCAGTGGAGCCCTCATACCGACCAGTTGCCTTTCTATCCAAACAGACTCTACTGCCCAGGGATGGCAACCTTGCCTCTGAGCACTGGCGGCAGCAACATGACTATCCAAGGAGGCCTTAAAACTCACCCCTGTGATTTACCTTGGAATTTTATCAGACATACAGAGAAGACATAATACCTATTCTCCTTAAAGTTTTCCAAAAAACTGAAGAGGAGGAAATACTCCCAAACTCATTCTATGAAACCAATATCACCCTAATACCAAAACCAGGCAAAGAACCCACCAAAAAAGAAAATTACAGACCAATATCCCTGATGAATGTAGATGCAAAAATACTCAATAAAATATTAGCAAATTGAATTAAAAAATATATCAAAAGGATCATACACCATGACAAAGTGGGATTCATCCCAGGGATGCAAGGATGGTACAACATTCGAAAATCCATCAACATCATCCACCACATCAACAAAAAGAAGGACAAACACCACATGATCATCTCCATAGATACTGAAAAAGCATTTGACAAAATTCAACATCCATTCATGATAAAAACTCTCAGCAAAATGGGTATAGAGGGTAAGTACCTCAACATAATAAAGGCCATATATGATAAACCCACAGACAACATCATACTGAACACCAAGAAGCTGAAAGCTTTTCCTCTGAGATCGGGAACAAGATAGGGATACTCACT